TCTCTAACACCTCCAGTGTTACCTCAATTTGCTCCCAGTCTTTGGGGGAGTCCAAGGCATCAGGACGGCTGCTACCAGATACCACATCCTGGTTGGAGACCACATGTCCCTTGAAGGGGTAGACGGGGTACTTACCCCAGAATCCTGCTGACTGTGCCAAGTGTCAGGGGCATGCTCCTCAGCCAGGGGCTTGACCCTTCTGGGTTCAGGAAACTGAAAGAACACATAGGTACAAGCAGGCAAATGGGGCATGCTTTATTACAAACAAAGCAGCGAACAACAGGTTGGTCAGTGGCAACTTATATGCAAGCTCAAGACAAGCTCAAACAAAAAAGGCTTTCTGCCAAATACAGAAAAGCACGCCTGCACAGTATATAGCTTTTTGTGTCCTTGCTTTTGCACCTGCATATAAGCAAATTAGCCTGGAACACCCTGACTAGGATTCCCATGCTCATAGTGGCCTTGAACATCTGGCGCACTCTAGACAGGGCACCCACATACCACCACATTTCTAGAACCCTTCAATGCAATTTATTTTTATATTGTTATTTTTTATACAGCTACCTTTCAAAACTCTCTTAATAATTGCAGTAATTATAAATTGTTTTACGTTTTCTACATATCCAATTATATAAATTGTGAATAATGACAATTTTGTTTCTCCCTTTTCAATCTTTATACCTTGTATATTTTTTTAAATTGTATTGGTTAACACCTCCAGTACTATGATAAATAACAGTGGTGTTCCTGATCTAAAAGGGAAAATTACCATAAATTATCAGTAAGTATGATATTTGTTTCAGGTTATTTTTTAAAATCTATAAATATAGATAACTATATTAATTTCCTAGGGCTGCTGTAACAAAGGGCCACAAACTGAATGGCTTGTAACAACAGAAATGTATTCTTCTTGCCTGGCTGGTGTGGCTCAGTGGTTGAGCATTGGCCAATGAACCAGGAGGTCATGGTTCGATTCCCAGTCAGGGCATGACTGGGTTGTGGGCTCGATCCCCAGTAGGGAGCATACAGGAGGCAGCTGATCGATGTTTCTATCTCTCTATCCCTCTCCCTTCCTCTCTCTAAAATCAATAAAATTATATTAACTTTAAAAAAGAAGAAAAAAGAAATACATTCTTCCGGAGGTTAGAAGTCCAAAATCAATAAATCAATGTGTCAGCAAGATCATGACCTCTCTGATGTCTCTAGTGGATTCTTCCTTGTCTCTTTCTAGCTTCTGATATTTGCCAGCAATCCTTAACTTTCCTTGGCTTGTAAATACATCACTCCAATCTCAATCTCTTTCATTACATGGTATTCTCCTTTTGTGTCTGTCTTCACATAACATTCTCATCTCTGTGTTTTTGTCCAGATTCCCTTCTTCTTGTAAGGACCTCAGTCATTTAATTAAGACTCACGCTATCTAGTATGACCTCATCTTAACTTGATTACACCAGAAAGACTGTTTCTACATTGGGTGACATTCTGAGGTTCCATTGTGGGCATGAATTTTGGGCAGAAACTATTCAACCCAGTAAAGATACTTTACACTAAGCATGTCAAACTCAAAGGCTAACACAGGCCAAATAACATTTAAGTTTATGTGAGCCACAAAAAAACAAAAGCTTCAATTTTCATAGAAACATAGGTTTATTTCTATTATAGAGAAATGCTGAGTACAAAGGGCTGAAATAAATGAGTAATTGTTAACATAGAATAATAGAACATTTTAATAAAAATTAATATTTTTTCTTGAACATTAACTTACCAGACACTGAATAACTGCACAAATTAATACACATAACGCAAATAAACCTATTTTTCTTGTTCTCCGAAAGCAAAATATTTCCTGTTGCACACACCAAACAAGTCAGTACAAGACTAATGACGTGACAGTCGGCTGCTAAAATATTCGCTGCTGGTATTAGTGGAAAGAAATGGTGTGCCTGTGTGTAAGGCATGTAAGGGAAATGAATGCAACACAATTATAGTAATCAGTCATTAGTGAACGTTGTTCATTATTAATAATTATGTATAATAAGATATTGTAAAAATTAAGTTACGAAATTTTTATTAAAACATTTCTTACATACCGTTAGGTTGGCTGGGCCACAAAAATATTCATTGTGGGCCGCATGCAGCCTGCAGGCCACAAGTTTGACATGCTTGCTGTACATCAAATTAAAGAAGTCCCCTTCTATGGATCATTTGCCTAAGAGATTTCTATTTTGTTTTGTTAAAACAACCATATGACACCAGGGACATAAGGGAGGAATTGAATTGACCCCCTCCACCACACACACATCCCTCTTTAGACATTCATCACACTATTTTCTGTGTTCATGGGTTATGCATATATGCATTTAAGTTCTTTACTTAATCTCTGCCCACCTACCCTCACCTTCCCTTCCTTCTGAGATCCATCAGTCTGTGGCATGCTTCCATGCCTCTGGACCTATTTTGTTCGTCAATTTATTTTGTTCATTAGATTTCACATATAAGTGAGATCATGCGGTACTTGTCTTTCTCTGACTGGCTTATTTCCTTAGCATAATACTCTCTAGGACCCTCCATGTTATCTCAAAGGGTAATAGATCCTTCTTTTGTAGAGCTGCATAGTATTCCATGATATATATATATGTACCACATCTTTTTTATTCACTCATCTACTGATGGGCATTTGGTCTGTTTCCAGATCTTAGCTATTATAAATAACACTGCTATGAACATAGGGGTGCATATATTCTTTCTGATTTGTGTTTCAGGATTCTTAGGATATAATCCTGGAAGTGGGATTACTGTGTTAAACAACAGTTTGATATTTAATTTTTTGAGGAAACTCCATACTGTTTTCCATAGTGGCTGCACCCCACCAGCAGTGTACTAGGATTCCCTTTTCTCCACATCCTCGCCAATACTTGTCACTTGTTGATTTATTGATGGTAGCCAATCTGGCAGGTCTGAGGTGATACTTAATTGTCATTTTAATTTGCATCTCTGTGATAATTAGTGACTTTGAGCACTTTTTCATATGTCTCTTGGCCTTCTGTATGTCCTCTTTGGAGAAGCATCTTTTTAGGTCCTTTGCCTATTTTTTGATTGTTTGTCTTCCTTTGGTTGAATTGTATGAGTTCTTTATATATTTTGGAAATTAACCTTCTGATGTGTCATTGGCAAATATGTTCTCCCATAGAGTGGCTCCCTTTTCATTTTGTTGATGGTTTCTTTTGCTGTGCAGAAGCTTTTATTTTGATGTAGTCCCATCTATATATATATAAAGCCAGTGTCCATGACGACCAGGATGACCAAATGACCGGTCACCATTAGGTGCATTGAGCACCTCTCAGTCCCTCCCCCGCAGCCCACAGGCTCCGATCACAGCAAGGCAGGCAGTGGGTGGGCAGGCAGCGAGTACAGGGAGCAGCAGCGGGTGGGTGGGCGGGGGTTGTGAGTGCAGTGAGCAGCGGCAGGCAGGTGGGCGGGGCTGTGAGCACTGGCAGGCTACCACGTGCGATTTCACACATTGGGCCTCTAGTCTATAATAATAAAAGCATAATATGCTAATTAGACCAGAGTTCCTTCCAGACGAAGCTGGGGCTGTGAGGACCGAGGCAGAAGAGGCAGATGCCACAGCAGCAGGGGGCTGAGGCAGAGGCCCCCAGCCACCACGGTGGTGGGGGCCGAGCCCCTTGCATGAATTTCATGCATCGGGCCGCTAGTGTTGAATAAGAGTGGTGAGAGCATATATCCCTGTCTTGTTCCTGTTCTTAAGGGAAATGCTTTTAGTTTTTGTCCATTGAGTGTGACATTGGCTGCAGGTTTGTCCTATATGGCCTTTATTATTTATTTTATTTTTTAATTTTATCATATATATCGTATATATCATTTTAATTATTTATTTTATTGATTTTTTACAGAGAGGAAGGGAGAGAGATAGAGAGTTAGATATATCAATGAGAGAGAAACATTGATCAGCTGCCTCCTGCACACCCCCTCCTGGGGATGTGCCCTTGACCGAAATCAAACCCGGGACCCTTCAGTCCGCAGGCCAACGCTCTATCCACCGAGCCAAACCGGTTAGGGCTGGCCTTTTTTATTTTGATGTATGATCCCTCTATTCCACTTTGCTGACAGTTTTTATTAAAAAAGAGGTGCTGGATTTTGTTAAATGCTTTTTATGAATCTAGTGATATGATCATGTGATTTTTATCCTTCATTTTGTTACTGTGATGTTTCACATTTATTTCGTTGCATTCTTCACACAGCCAAGGTTACTTTTTTGCTGTCCCCTGGGGATATTGGTGGAGTATGTTTACTTCTGGTTTGCCCTTAACTTTAAGAGTTTAACTTCTTGGGCCTTGATGTCTGTTTCCCTGACCTAGTTTGATCCATTAAAAGTAAAGTTAACATTTTCCTGGATTTACTAATGTCCACCAGAAAAAAACCTGGCCTTAATTTTCTGCTTATTTCTATGGAATCTCACTTTATCTTAAATTTTGCTTGGTAATTACTTTGCATATATTGTCAGTCACTGTTGGAATTAAAAAAAATGTTACCACATATATATTGCACATTATGTTCAGAAGCAGAACTCACTGTGTCTTTAGCATTAAAAAAAAAACAACAAAAAAACAGTTCTTGCCCTAGCCACTTTGGCTCAGTGGATAGAGCGTCAGCCTGTAGACTGAAGGGTGGCTGGTTCAGTTCTGGTCTAGGGCATGTACCTGGGTTTCAGGCTTGATCCCCAAGACCAACATCGATGTTTCTCTCTCTTTGTCTCTCCCCCTCCCTTCCACTCTCTCTACAAGTCAATGGGAAAAATATCCTCAGGTGAAGATTTAAAAAAAACAACAACACAGAAAACAGTTATTTAAAGACTTTTCTTAGTTTCATGCATTTTCTTTGAGTACAACTTAGCCATTTTGACTATGTAAATAATATTAGCACAATACAGTAAGGTCTTCCTTAAAGCTTTTATAAAAGAGATCCAATTTTTTTTTCAGGCTAAAGAAGCAGTGGCAGAAGCTGAACATCTTGATCCTGGAAATATTTTCACTCAATTTTATCTATTCAAGATTGCAGTCATAGAAGGCAATTCTGACGGAGGTATGTTATTTATGAGTTACATTTAACTGTTAACACAAATAATAAAAATAATCCTCTTTGATCATAATATAAAAAACATTGTAAGACAATGAAACAATGAAGATATATAAATATATATATCATATATATCGTATATATCATATATATTCTAGATTTCCTATATAAAGATAATACAACCATGCAAAAAAGAAACTATGGAAGGTTACATAAAAATAAAAGAACAGGGCCTACCTATTGAAGGAGTAGGATCTAGTCAGATGTGGGACAAAAATTGGGGGGAAAGTTGTCATGATATACTTTTTAAAAAATATATTTTTATTGATTTCAGAGAGGAAGAGAGAGGGAGAGAGAGATAGAAACATCAATGATGAGAGTGAATCATTGATTGGCTGCCTCCTGCATGGCCCACACTGGGGCTCGAGCCTGCAACCCGGGCATGTGCCCTGACCGGGAATCGAACCATGACCTCCTGGTCCATAGGTCAATGCTCAGTCACTGAGCCACGCCAACTGGGCGCGGTATACTTTTTTGAACTTTATGTTATTTGAATCAACCTATTTTTTTAAAAATCAAGTTTAAAAAGGTCTGGGTGCAGGGGAGATTATGCTGCAAACATCCATCAGTTAAGAACTGTCTTCAGAGAATGGAAGTCTCCAGGGTAACTTTTGACTGTTTTCACGTATTTGGGAGGTGATTAATGAGAGATTAGGCCTTGAGAAGGAGTTTCTATCTACAAAGTTGACAGTGTTGGAATTACGCAAATGAACCTCATCCCATTAGTGTTGTTTCTTTTTTATCAAGCATAGTTTCCTAGCTAGTGTCCCTGAAAACACATGTATCTTGACTTGGTTACAGATTATGCCTATGCTATGATAGTATTCTTATTCAGCCCTCAGAGTAGCTGAACCTAATCCTGGAGAAGTATGAGCTCCAGACTGGTTGCTCTTTGTGAAGGGCACAAGTTGAGAAATTGAAAAACTTGAATCTGAACATAATTTATACTAATCCAATTAAGCAACTATTTATGAATGCCTCTTATATACATTAAATCCATAAGAAAATGGAAGATGACTTATTCTGCACTGAGAAAGAAATCAAGGATAGTAAACTATACCTGTATATTAATTAAGGAGTAGAAAATTGAAGTAAACTGTTTATCAGGGTTAATATTGGTGTCATGTCCATCATTGATGTTTTCATTAGACACTTCTAGGCATTTGCTTTATTTGATTTACTATGTTGAAGTATAAAAGGACTTAAAATATTTTGCCAACAGAAATGACAAAAAATGAATTTCCTATTAAACCTTTTATTTTAACATTCTATTAAAATAAGCTCACTTTTAAACATAGCATCAACTCAATGTTTTTACTTTTCTCCAATTATCTGTCACCATTTTTAAAGTCAAGTTTATGCAATAAAAGTTACTCTTGCATGATTCTATGGGGTTTATTTATATTAATAATTCTGTGAGTTTTGATAAATGCATACAGTATGACCAAGATACAGAACAAAAATTTACCTCAGCCCCTTTGTTGAAACTCCTTCCCATTACTTCCAGTCCTGGAAACTACTGACCTCATTTATAACTCTACAGTTTTGCCTTTTCCAGAATGTCATATAAATGGACTCATCAGTGTGAAGCTTTTTTAGCCTGGCTTCTTTCATGTAGCACATTGCATTTAAATATCATCTATACTGCTGTGGTTTCCATATAAACTCTTTTTTATTTCCTAGTATGGATGTATCACAGTTAGGCTATCCATTTACCAGTTGAAGGATGTTTGCATGGTTTCCAATTTGGATGATTAGGAATAAATGTGCTATAAACATCTGTTTGTAGGTTTTGTGTGGTGATATGATCACTTCTCTAGGAAGTGGATTGCTGTTATTTTTTTAAATAATTTTTATTTTACAATTACAGTTGTCATACAATATTATATTAGTTTCAGGTGTACAGCCCCTTGCTTAGACAAGTATATAACTTACAAAATGATCACTTTTATAAATCTAGTACCCATCTGACACCATATATAGTTATTACAATATTATTGACTATATTCCCTCTAAGGATGTTCTTTAACTACCAATTTGTACTTCTTAGTTTCTTCACTAACTTTTGGAATTTTAATTATGATGTGTCTGGGTGTGGGCCTCTGGGTTCTTCTTGCTTGGGATTCTCTGTGCCTCCTGAGCTTGTGTGACTTTTTCCTTCATCAGGTTAGGGAAGTTTTCTGCCATTATTTCCTCAAATACATGCTCTATCTCTGCTCACTTTCTTCACCTTCTGGTAATCTTATGATGTGAATATTGCCGTATTTCATGTTGTTCCACAGCTCCCTTAAGCTGTCCTGTTTTTTCATTGTGTTTTTTTTCCTTTTGTTTCTCTGATTGAGTTATTTTTTTCTACCTTGTCTTCTAATTCAGCGGTCACCAACCTGTCAGACCTCACGGACCACCAGTGGTCCATGGACCACCAGTTGGTGACCGCTGCTCCAAAGGTTTCCTTAAACCAGCGGTCGCCAAACTTTCCGACCTCACGGACCACCAGTGCTTGGCAGACCACTGGTTGGTGATCGCTGTTCTAATTCACTGATCTGATCCTTATCTCCCCCTAATCTGCTGTGTATTTCTTTTTTTTTAATAATTAAATCTTTATTGTTCAGATTATTACATTTGTTCCTCTTTTTCCCCCCATAACTCCCCTCCTCCCAGTTCCCGCCCTACCCTCCGCCCTCACTCCCCACCCACTGACCTCATCCATAGGTGCACGATTTTTGTCCAGTCTCTTCCCGCATCTCCCACTCCCCTTCCCCCCCAAGAATAGTCAGTCCATTCCCTTTCTATGTCCCTGATTCTATTATAATCACCAGTTCATTCTGTACATCAGGTTATTTATTCACTTGATTCTTAGATTCACTTGTTGATAGATGCATGTTTGTTGTTCATAATTTGTATCTTTACCTTTTTCTTCTTCTTCCTCTTCTTAAAGGATACCTTTCAGCATTTCGTATAATACTGGTTTAGTGGTGAACTCCTTTAGCTTTTCCTTATCTCTGAAGCTCTTTATCTGACCTTCAATTCTGAATGATAGCTTTGCTGGATAAAGTAATCTTGGTTGTAGGTTCTTGGTATTCATCACTTTGAATATTTCTTGCCATTCCCTTCTGGCCTGCAAAGTTTCTGTTGAGAAATCAGCTGACAGTTGTATGGGTACTCCCTTGTAGGTAATTGAGTCTCTTTCTCTTGCTGCTTTTAAGATTCTCTCTTTGTCTTTTGCTCTTGGCATTTTAATTATGATGTGTCTTGGTGTGGTCCTCTTTGGATTCCTTTTGTTTGGGGTTCTCTGCCCTTCTTGGACCTGTAAGTCCATTTCTTTCACCAGGTGGGGGAAGTTTTCTGTCATTATTTCTTCAAATAGGTTTTCAATATCTTGCTGTCTCTCATCTTCTGGTACCCCTATAATTCTGATGTTGGTACGCTTGAAACTGTCCCAGAGGCTCCTGGCACTATCTTCATATTTTCGGATTCTTTTTTCATTTTGCTTTTCCAGTTGGGTGTTTTTTGCTTCTTCGCATTTCAAATCTTTGACTTGATTCTTGCGCTCCTCTGGTCTGCTGTTGGGTGTCTGTATAATATTCTTTATTTCAGTCAGTGAATGCTTAATTTCTAGTTGGTTCTTTATCACAACATCGAGGGTCTCATTAGATTTCTTGAGGATCTCATCAAGTTTATCGGCCGTTTCTAGAAAATTATTGAAAGTCCTTAAAAGTGCGTTTTTTAGCTCTATATCCTCCATTTCTGTCATGTTTCTTTTTCTCCGCATTTTTTATGCTTTCTTGGTGCACCCCCTTGTGGTCCTTGTGCACAGTCTTGTTGTAGTTAAGCCTTGATTGTTGTCGGCAATACTGGGGGTGAATTGACCTCCAGGCTAGCTGGCTATCCTAATCTGCTGTGTATTTCTTCCAATGTGTTCTTTACTAGTGTTATGTCATTCTTCATTTCCAACTCATCATTTTTCATAGTTTCTTTTTTTATACTTTACATTCTTTATGTTTTAAAGTATTACATAAGTCTCCTTTTCCCCCCATTGCTTCTCCCCGATTGCCCCCATGACCCAGCACATGCCCTCACCCCACCCCCATCTGTGTCCATTGGTTATGTTCATATGCATGCATACAAGTGCTTCGGTTGATCTCTTACCCCCTAACCTCTCACTTCCCTCATAGATTGGACAGTCTGTTCAATGCTTCTATGACTCTGGTTCTATTTTTGTTCATCAGTTTATGTTGTATATTATATTCCACAAATGAATGAGTTCATGTAATATTTATCTATCTCTGACTGGCTTATTTCTCTTAGCATAATGCTCTCCAGATCGATCCATTGCTGTTGAAAATGGTAAGAATTCTGTCTTTTTTACAGAAGCATAGCATTCCATTGTGTAGATGTACCACAGTTTTTAATCCACTCATCTGCTGATGGGCCCTTAGGCTGTTTCCAAATCTTAGCTATTGTAAATTGTGCTGCTATGAACATAGGGCTGCATATATCCTTTCTGATTGGTGTTTCTGTTTTCTTGGGATATATTTCTAGAAGTGGGATTACTGGGTCAAATGAGAGTACCATTTTTAATATTTTGAGGAAATGCCATACTGTTTTCCACAGTGGCTGCACCAGTCTGCATTCCTACCAGCAGTGCACAAGGGTTCCTTTTTCTCCGCATCCTCGCCAGCACTTGTTGTTTGTTGATTTGTTGATGACAGCCATTCTGACAGGTGTGAGATGGTACTTCATTGTTGTTTTGATTTGCATCTCTCAGATGATTAGTGACTTTCAGCACGTTTTCATATGACTCTTGGCCTTCTGTATGTCTTCTTTCAAAAAAAATGTCTATTTAGGTCCTTTGCCCATTTTTTGATTGGATTGTTTGTCTTCTTTTTGTTAAGTTGTATGAGTTCCCTATAAATTTTGGAGATTAAACCCTTATTGGAGATAAC